TTTTTTTTTTTTTTTTTATTTCTATTTTTACCGTTGAATTTTGTGTTCAGATTGTGGCGCATGTTATTTGCCCAAGTGAATTGTTGATCACTATTCCCATTCATATATTATCAATTTTGCTTTCCCCTCTGTCTTGATATTTCATGTTGTTGCTAAGGATCGGGAAAAACTCACGAACAAAAAGGTCTTGCCTCCAAAACCGAAGGACGCCACAAATGTTTCTCAATCCTCGCATATTCATGAGAAACCATTATCATCAGTTTCCCGTTCTCCTTTGACCAAGAAACCCGTTTTCAGTGCTCGTAAACCTGTTGCCTTAGCACACGGCCCAAAAGTCGACAAACGGAACGAGGAAATGGCGAAAACAAGCACCAATGGAAATCCTGTGGATGCAGTCACATCAAATTCAGTGCCGAAAAAGAAACTGAAAAAGAAGCCAAATCCAGAGGCTTTGGATGCTCAGGTTCGTCTTGAAAAGTTGGCATTGTCACCAACGGACGAGCGTCCTAAACTCTAGAAGCATGTGGCTCAGAGTAGTAGTACCTGAGTTTGCATAAGTGGAACATAAAATTTGTACATAGATTTTGAAAAGCTCATTTTTTTTTTTTCACTTGGGCTCCTTCAACTCGGACGACCTCCGTACCTGCAAGAATCCAACGCTGGGGTGTCCCGGCGTCGGGTCTCCGATGCCTAAGTCAATATCACTACAAAACTCCAAATCCCAAGTGTAAAGTAATGAATGTAGAGAGAGTGAGAGAATGAGATGCCTTAGCCCCTTTTAGGAAGAGTGTAACTTATGGCCCAAGTTGGCTTTTTCCAATACCATCATGCCATGTGTCCTAGCTCATGTGTAGGCTTATTCTCCAATATATTTTTTTTTATCCATTAAAGCTAAGCTGGTCTTGTGATTAAATCTGATTTATTATAATATCTTATATCACTTGCCTTTATCATTTCCAATTACCGTTGCTCCAAAAGGCGTCCATGAGAGACTGTAGAAAGAGGTGTCGTAATAACCTTTCCAACTATCAAAGTATTTTTCAACATCTCTTGCGTCAGAGAAGAGATGAGCATTCTTTGCCAAAAGACTATCGACAGCTTCAATTTGATTAGATATTCCACACCTGCCACATATATGTTTTTACCCGGAATCTGTCTTATTTTCTCAACGTCGTCACGGACAACAACGTATTTCTCTCCTAATTGATGATCTTCTTGAACCGCTAGCAAGTAAAAAAACCTCCTTGAACCTTCAATTTCAATTACGCAATGACAGTTACATGACTTGTTTGATTATGTAGTAATCAAACTGAGATGAATACGATTCAAGTTCTTGGAGATCAGCAACCATATCTTGATTTGTGCGTGGACAACTTTAATTTGCTCAGATAATCCACAACCTGCCACATATATGTGTTACACGGAATCTGTCTTATTTTCTCGACGTCGTCACGAGCAACAACGTATTTCTCTTTTAATTGATAACCTTTTCTTCAATCACTAGCAAGTAAAAAACCTCCTTGAACCTCCAAATACGCAATGACAATTCTATGGCGTGTTTTGATTCTGTAGTAATCAAGCTGAGATGAATACGATTGCGTATTCATCAGCTTGAATACACAAGTCATGGAATTAAAACAAGTCATCGAACTATCATTGCATATTTGAAGGTTCAAAGAAGTTTTTTATTTGCTAGTGATTCAAGAAGAGGTCATCAATTAGGAGAGAAATATGTTGTTGCCCGTGAAGACATTGAGAAAATAAGACAGATTCTGGGTAAAAACATATATGTGGCATGTTGTGGAATATCTGAGCAAATTGAAGCTGTTCACGCACAACATCAAGATATGGTTGTTGATCTCCAGGAACTTAAATCGTATTCATTTCAGCTTGATTACTACAGAATCAAAACAAGCCATGAAACTGTCATTGCGTATTTGAAGGTTCAAGGTGGTTTTTTACTTGCGAGTGATTCAAGAAGAGGTCATCAATTAGGAGAGAAATACGTTGTTGCCCGTGACGACGTTGAGAAAATAAGACAAATTTTGGGTAAAAACATATATGTGGCAGATTGTGGAATATCTGAGCAAATTGAAGTTGTCCATAGTGTCTTGGCAAAGAATGTCCATCTCTTCTCTGATGCAAGAGATGTTGGAAAATACTTTGATAGTTTGGAAAATCATTACAGTACCTCTTTCTACATAGTCTCTCATGGGACTTTTGGAGTAACGGTTATTGGAAATGAGAAAAACATGTGATATAGGATATTATACTAAATTGTATCTAATCAAAGACCCGTTTTAATAGATAAAAAAGAATATATTAGAGAATAAGCTTACACATGAGTTAAGACACGTGACATGATGGTATTGGACTTGGGCCATAATGTATACTCCCTCTGTAAAAGGGGCTAAGAGCATGTTTGTTTATAAGATTTTTCAAAAAAATTCTCACATTTTAACTCAACCCCAATATTATCAATATAATTAAATAATATCAATCAATCATTTATACATACCACATAAACTTTAATTCACTATTTATCCACTCACATTATTTTAATTAACCATCACATCACATTTTCTCTTTCTTACTTTTACATCAAACCAATTTTAATTATTTTATTTTAAATATTATTTTAATGTACCCACTAACAACTAACCATACCACTTTTTCAAAATTAACTAAACCAAACCAAAAAATTCAAACAAACCTAAAATTTTTCATAAACAAACATGCTCTAAGTTATCTCAATCTCTCTACATTCATTACTTTATACTTGAGATATGAAGTTTTGGAGTGATATTGACTTAGGCATCAGAGGCTCGATGCCAGGACACCCCCAGCGGTGGATTCTTGCAGGTGCGGAGGCCGTCCAAGTTGAAGGAGCCAGAGTGAAGTCCATTTTACGAACATTGTGGTAATTGAGCTATGTAAGTATTGTGATTGACTACATGACATGGGGACATTTTTCAAAATTAAGAGTAGGTTAGATGAGAAACTCTGTGTGTCTCTATATCATTTGTATTTTCAGCTTCTTTTTGAGTTTGTAGAATTTTATTTTTTAGTTCTTTTTTTGTGCCCAGGAATGGAGAGGTGGATTTTTTTTTTTTTTTTTTAGCCGACTACTATATGTTGGGGTTATTTGTTGACGAGTTATAGAGGTTGGGTTATTCTTACTCTTTTTTTTATTATATATAATTTTATCGTTTTTTCTAAAATAGTATAAAGATTTAAATACCTGTCGGGGAATATTAAAAAATGTGAACAAAAATGTTGTATGAATAAGTATTGTGAATTAAATATATAAATGATAAAGATAGTAAAGATACTTGTTGAATGGTAATGATAGGTTTTTATTTGGTAACAATCACTTATATTATGAGATTGATGAAAAATATGTAAATGAATGAATTATATTTCTTTACTATCCAATCATATTCAAATGGCAAAATATTTTCCCCCATTTTTTTTTTTTTTTTTTTTAAATATCCAATCATCCCAATTGTATTAAGCCCACTACTTCACTTTCATTTTCGTCTTCCATATTCCTAAAAGAAAATATGTGTTATAGCTTTAGGATACATTTGAACATTGATGTGTTATATATCAAATCTATTAATATATAAAGAGACAACTTAATAATTCTAAAATAATAACTAAAAAATTAAATGAACTCCCGCTTAAACACATTACTAAACATAGAAACTTATTTTGAAAATTTTTGCAATATGCCGCCTCATAAGTGCGCAAAGTGTGGAGATAATGATACCAACAGCTTAAAAATAGGATCTAAATTGTTAATATTATAATATATTATTATTATAGATTATGATGTTAACCAATTTTATTATAAATTCGGTAAGATATTTTTCAAATGTTTATCAGAAAAAAGGAGTCCTTGGAGACTCGAAACTCTTCTATTGTTTTAGAGTAATGCTATTTAGCCTACTTGGTTGACAACTTCGGTTACAACTCAAGTGTAAATGCTTTACTAAAAATTTAAAAAATTATGCATTTACGCTTATGTTGTAACACATGTTGTCATCCAAGTGGGTTCTATAGCATTACTCATTATTTTATGTATCCTTAAAAACATCACAATGCATGAGACTTCTACGAGTACATAATTTATTTAAAAAATAATTAATATAATATTTATCTAATTTATCATTAATTAAATTGGCTTATCTCATTAACAAATTTACCATTTTTTTAAATTAAATGATACAATTATTCTTACGGATATACTTATTAAAATATTAAATATTTTAGAAATTTTAAAAATAAATTTGAATTATCACGCCTTTTACTTTATTTAGAATTCAAAATTATATTTTTAAATATATTAATAAACATTTATTATTTATTTTTTTTACTTATGTGATATAATTTAAATTTGGTGATTATATTTTTAAATTCAAATATCTAAAGAAAAAAATCACAAGAAGATTTTTTGGTGACATTTCATTTTATCTTAGCTTTCATATAATCACATTCCTAACAAATTAAATAAATACTATTTTGTTATACATATTTATACAATCAGATTTTTAAAATATAATTAATAATATTTTACCTAATTAATCATCTCTCTAACCAGATTTATCTCATTAACAAATTTGCAAAAAATTTTGAAATTAAAATGGTAAGATAATTTTTACGGATATACTTACCAAAATATTAAACACTTAGAAACCTTTTGACAACAAATTTGAATTATCCCGCCTTTTACTTCATTTGAAATTCAAATTATTTTTTCAAATATATTAATAAATATTCATTATTTATTTATTTTTCCATATTTTATCGATATAGTATCAGTTTGGTTATTAGATATTAAAATTCAAACATAAAAACGAAAAGATCATAATTAGATTTTTTTGGTACATTTTATTTTATCTAAACTTTCATATAATCACATTCCTACCAAGTTAATTGATATAATATTTTTTTTATTGAAATTTATCTAACTGAAATTTTTGAAATATATTAATATAATATAACTAATCGATCATTTATCTAACATTTATCATTTATTATTTTGTTACATGATATTATTTATTAATTTCATGTACTCGAGGGGTGGTGACAGTTCATATGGTGGGAGCTGGAGAAATTAGGAAATGGAAGTTTTAAATTATTTGTTATGAATCAGTGTTCCGGTTTTTGGTATTTTTTGTGCTTGCTGGTTATCGTATTTGTTATTTGGGTTGTGTTAATGGTGTTCTTCATAATCTATAAAACAATATGTTTACATATTTCTGATGGGATGACGTAAATTGAGATTTTCTACCCAATTTCAAATGTTATGTTGTCTAATTTTTTGTTTAATTATATTTTATAATATTATATTAATTTTAAAATGTTACTTTAATTAAATTAAATTTGATTTTATATTAGTTAAATATATGATGGGAATAAGTTTTTCTTTTAATTGTTTGGTAAAAAATTAAGTAAATAACAAAGAGAAAGAGATTATATGAGATAAGTTTAAATAGATTTGACAAAAAAATATATACTTATTAATTACAACCTTTATGATTACATACCATGCTTTAAAAAAATATATCTATGGATAAGTTAATGATAATAACTAAATAAATATTAGGTTTTTAAGTTTGAATATTTCATATTTTTATTCAAAATTCTTTACATCTCTGATGTTATGTGGAGCTTTCTTAATTTTCTTTAGAAATATTTTTAAAAAAATTTTGAAAAATCCCGCATTTGGCTGGGATGTCCTCAATATGCATGATAATTGGTAATTACTTATTTTTCTAGGAATTAATTATATCAATAATTAGTTGTTTTATTTGCATGGTAATTAATTATGAAAAATGCATATTAGGAAATCAATAATGAGATATTTTAAATATAAATCATTATATTTTAAATAAAGTTAAAAACAAGTTTTAAGTAATAAGTCTGCCCGTGCATTGCACGGGATACACACTAGTAAATGAAAATTGATGTGTTCCACATTTGCTCCATGCAAAATTTGGTATCCGATCACTTGCAAAGCATGAAGTATGTGATGTGAACAACATTAAAGGTTAAGACCTTGGTAATCAACAGTTAGGTGATTGCTATTAACTGATTTCATTAGTTGCTTTGACCAGCAGATTGAATTAGCTGTTTTGACAAGATGATTGTTTTAACAGTTTGTAAAACAAATACTTGGTAAAATTACCTATTTTACCAAACATTTTTTTAGGAAATCAAATACGGATATCAAATAAAAAATCATAATTAATTTTTGCAATACATATATCAAATAAAAAATCGTCAAACGATAAGGGCGTGATTGTTTACATTTTCTACAGTAAATATTTCACTCAAAACTCAATTTAACTCGACTTTAACTCAATTCCACTATCTCCAGTATCATCAATATAATTAAATAACATCTATCAATCATTATTACACATCACATCAACTTTAATTCACTATCATCCACTCACATAATTTTAACTAATCATCACTTCCAATCATTTTCTCATACTTTTACATCAAATCAACTTTAATTATTTGAATTTAAATATTATTTTAATATATCCACTAACAACTAATCATACTACTTTTCTTCAAACTTAACTATATTTAAAAATAAACTATTTTTTTACTAGTTGAATTCATATCCAATCACCCCCTATTTAATTTGACATATCATATATCAATAGTCGATAACCAATAAAAATAATTTATTAAAAATTTTAAAATATATTTATAATTTAAGCTGATCAACTGTATTATAATTTTAAATTTTTAAATAAGCATAGATAAAAAAAAAATTCAAATCTACTTAGACTCCAAAGTACCATAATTTTTGACAATAAGGTGGGAAAAACACTGTATTTTATATAATTTGGAGTGAGATGCCTAATACAAAAATTAGCTGAAAATAAATTTTAGGCCGTAATGATAGGCCCAATGGTAATGCCACCGTCAAAGCCCATATATATCAAGCAAATCCCTCGATTTTGTTACAATTTTTCTTCAATTGCTGAGGCATTTTTACAGAGAATTTCAGAAATTCACTCGACTTTCCCAGTTGCCAGCTTCTGAATTGCTCTTCAGGTTTGCTGAATTTAAGGGTTCTTTTGTTTTTAACTGAGTGTTCGATTACATTATATTTCTTAGCTATCACTGTTTATTATTAAATGTTAGATATCTGCTTCTTCATATATATATATTTTTTTTATTTAATTTTGTTTTTTTTAATCAAAAATCGGTCGAATATTTATTGGAGTTTCTTGAGCAAATTTAGTTTAGTTATTTGCTTTGTAAGAGAAGTGCACAAGTGGACTACAAAAGGGAATGCCTAATTTTGGTTCAAGTTAATCCCCTGTTGTTGTTGTTTTTTTTTTTTTTTTTTTTTAGGAATGGTGGAGGTTAACATATTGTGTTGATTTTTGTTGGAATATCACTTGTGAGTCGTCCCCGTTGATTTGATAGGGTAAATGA